TGAACATCACCTGGTCCATGAATAGAGAACAGCGCACCAGCCAACTGATTAACAGCTAAAGCCAAGCAGTGACAATTATTCACATTTCCTGAAAATACAACAAAAACTCAATCAACATTTGTTTCAATAATCTTTTACAATAATGATAAATTTTCCATCGACATGAAAGAACTATAGACCAATCTCGAGTTGTATAATATCAATCCACAAAATAAACTAATCATGTTACACTGTGAGCTACTGCTCACCAATCATACTGCTGCTATAAGTACTTAATAAACAGAAAGTTGAAGAGCAATGTATGTGAAAACCAAATCACACAGTAAAGCATGCTTACAGGAAAAGTTATACCACTTTCAAGGTGTTCTGATTCATGGTTCCAGAGAAAAATATGACAGAATTTTCAAACATGGCCATTATTGTGAGAATATATAAACATTTGATTAACAGGAACTGATGAATGTGAAAACCTGTTAAAGGGTAAAGCATGCCCACAGAAAACTTGCTACCAAATTTTATGAAAGTCTGATTAGTAATTCCTGAGAAAAAAACCAACAGAAATTTCATGGGATGGACAGATACAGGGATAAAACAGTAAAACCCTCTTCTTTTTGGAGCTTTGTTATAATTACAACTCCATCTAAAATTTCTGCTTTCAAGGTATTTTTCAATCAATTATAGACAAAAGAAGCATGTGTGACGGGAAGAGTTAATGGTGATTATGCTGTATACTTTAAAACTATTTTTATTGGTTTAACTTTCAATTTTTATATTTCTTTTAACACACTGACTACTACACACAAGGATGGATTCACGACATGACAATTTTGACAGGGAAACCTTTTTTACATTACCTTCCAGTGCTGCTTTATATACAGATGAGTCTTGTCTGGCTAGCTTGGGAATAGCTACTGCTACAAACACCATCAGTAAGCAGGCTACTTCATATTCATTCTCTCTCCGTTCTGTAAATGAAAGAAAAAAAAATAACCCTAAGATCTGGCAAAAAATAGGGTCTTACTTGCATTGTGTCTTTTATTTTCTGATGTAAAAGATCTTTCAAACAATACACAACCTTTTACCAATTGACTGCACTTAATTTTATTCAAAACTTCTACTGACCAAAAAAACATGTTTAACATATGAAATGGTAACTTGCCCAATGTTGATGATTTTATTAGACGTCCGGTTGAGGATTAGCACAGCGGTCGTGAATCTAATTCCCCAAATTTGTCCAGACAATACAACTGTTTTGGAAGCCATGAGATTGACGTATATCCCAAACCTCTCTTAACAGTCATCAAAGATTACTGACTTATAATTTATTACTCTAGAGGAGTATTTTGTCTATATAAAACTCATCAGTGTGGAGTAAATAATGTAAACTTAAAACAATACCAAATGATTATATCTGGAGGAATAATCAGGATATAAAAATTCATGGGATTGCAAGTATTATCTATTTTAAATCAACATGTTTTTGAGTTCTTGACACTGTCATCAGGATAAAATCAATGAGTATTATCTTCCTGAGTACTAAATTCAGATACTTCAGGACTGACGCCATAATTCATAATGGTTTCCATATAAAGTAAATTTATCAATGAGTGAATGAAAATAACTATTAATAAATTGTGTTCGTCCAAAGACCTTCTCTGGATTTACCTTCATCAGGAATACTGTAAACCAACCTATTTTCGCGGATACTTAATTTCGCGTTTAGCCCTTTCTTGCCCATTTGGCGGCGATTTAATTTCGCGATTCTGAAATTTACTTGTGGATAAATCTAAGTTTTAAAAAATAAAAATAAAGTTTTACATATTCGCGACGATTTATATTCGCCTTATTTTTCTACTCGTGAAAGTAGCGAAAATAAATCGCTCGCTAAATTAGTTGGTTTACAGTACTAAAACCTAAAAAATTGAAAACCAGGGATGATAAATATCTAAACACATGAGGAGCTAAAAGAGACCATCAAAGAATAGACTAATCCATCTTAATTTAACATCGCTGAATGTACCCTTAGATATCCATCTCAAAGGAACCGTCAAAGAATAGACAAATCCATCTTTGGTTAACATTGCTGAATGTACCCTTAGATATCCATCTCAAAGGAACCTAACATTTTTATAAATGAGTTACACTAGGCGACATGAGGACAATCAGTAAAATGAATTCACTAAACAATCGGTTTTTACTGTCATGTAATATCATAAGCATTGTGACATAGGATAAATGTATGGGAAAATGCACAAATTGGAAAGTCGTCTATTAATCAGGCATTGGTTCACAAGTTTCATTTTATTGATTTTAACTGTTCAAAGTGTGACAGTAGTAAGCCAACTTACCACTCTTTTGTTGTCTCAGGGCATTAATCAGTGTTGGATCTACGTCACATGATAAACCTGAGGCAGACGACATCTCATTTACCACCTTTTTGAAATATAAAACAATATACATGTTATTTTAAAATAAAATGGGTTTTAATTACTTATCCCATTGAAAAGCTCATTACACTACTTTGGTTCAAAGTAATAGACCTTGAAACTGAAGGTTTTTAAGAAATATTTTTAAACTGACACATTATATTTTTTCATCTAAAGTAAAAAAAAAAAGGTCAAAATTAAAGAAATATATTGTGGTAAAATTTTTCCAATTTGTGTAACTGTGATAGAAAAAGTATATGTACACATATAACTTATATTTTTAAATGGAATTCTTTTTTCAGAGTGAAGTTATTTTCAGAGCCATGTCCTTTAAATACCTGAAAATTATTTGTTAAGTTTCTAGAAAATGTCAATTTTAATGTTAACTGTAAATTAAGAAAACCAATTAAGCTCTTTATTTTTCACATACTCAAAAATACCTAAATATTACAGAAAATTGGGAGAAAATCTAACAATCTTGATCTGAAATATGACAATCTTAGCAATTTTGCTTTTGACAGATGAGAAAAAGACAACTTATAAACATACATTAAAAATTAGTAAGTTTAAATATATTATTTCAAATTAGAATGTTATTCAAGACATTTATTATATATTACAAATATTTTTGTGATTAACAGCACATAACAAAGAATTAAAACATGATATATAAAAAGCACATGTATAGAAAAGCAATTATGATATCAACATCAAAACACAATAAAAATACATTGTACAAACAAAATTGTTACACAAAACACAATAGTATTATATGTCAATCATTGTGGTTAATTTGATTCATACAAAAAAGTTTGAAAATGATTTCAATAGAACGCTATTTGTTTCAATCATTTTTATTCCAGTAAATATTTTGAAATTCCCTGTATATGTCTACTTGTGTCCTTGGGTTAATGTCTTGTTGATGTATACCAAACATAAATTTTATTCATATTCTACCTTATAAATATCTAGGAATTTGTCTAATAGTTATTCATTACGAGCCCAGTAGTCAGCACTTCGGTGTTGACATGAATATCAAGTATATGGTCATTTTTATAAATTTGCAAGTTATGCAAATATTCAAAGTCAATGAACCATGACTGAAGGTACAGGGCTAAACAATCTCCATGGAAATGAGATGTGCCAATGCTAATAACTGCAAACCAAATACTATTGACTTATTATAAGATGTTCCCTTTAAACAAACCTAAACACAAACATTAACTTGTCAACTATGTGAAAGTTTCAAAGTCAATGAACCATAATTAGGGGGTGGGGTTATATAATCTCCATGGAAATGAAACTTGCAAATGCCAATACATTTGCATACCGAATATCATTGACTTAACACAAGTGGTTCATCTTAAACTGACCTAATCACTTACTAATTATACATGTAAACTAAGCAAAAGTTTCAAAGTCAATAGACCATGACTGAGGGGTAAGGACCAAATATTCTCCATGGAAATGAGATGTGCTAATGCTTATACAACTGCATACCAATTATCATTGACCTACCACTAACAGTTCCCCTTAAACTGACCTAATAACAAACTAATACATGAAAACTAAGCAAAAGTTTATAAGTCAATAAACCATGAATAGGGGGGCGGGGCCAAATGATCTCCACGGAAATGAGATATGCCAATGCTTATACAACTGCATACCAAATATCATTGACCTACCACTAGTGGTTCCCCATAAACTGACCTAATCACAAACTAATACATGTAAACTAAGCTTCAAAAACAATAGACATTGACTGAGGGGGCGAGGCCAAATAATCTCCATGGTAATGAGATGTTCCAATGCTAATACAACTGCATACCAAATATCATTGACCTACCACTAGTGGTTCACCATGAACTAGACCTAATCACAAACTAATACATTATTGAAGCTGCTGCAGCCACCGGAAACAGCATACCTATGTCTCGCTTTTTGACTCCGTCAAGGCGAGACAAAAAACCATGTGTACTTTTAAAAATAAAAGAAATAATATGCAAATATATTTTACCAACAAATTATTCATTAAATGTAAATGAAAGCAGGGATATGGTATATTGATTTATGACATAAAACGCCCACTTACACTCGATCAAACCGAAAGCAAATCGTTTTAAATGCAGGAGATTTTCAGATGACAGAATTTTTGTTTTCAACTGAACCACCAAACCTCCCTCCCAGAATATCAAATGGTCCCCCCTCCCTTACAGGTGGACAGCCAATTCAATAACTTAGCTTTGTAATTGTATTTACTTTCAAATTGTAAATATGTGTCATCCTACCCTAAGAATCTATGTTTATACAAATGTCTGATTAAATCAAGATGTTGTTAATTGGAAAGATGCTTTCAATGATGAAGAATTTGTTTTCATTTCAAAATCATGCAAAACAGGAATACTGCACAAGTATACAATACAAATTGAGGGAAACAATGCAGCACACATTTAAAAATTGTAGAACCAGCACTATGTTAAAATGCAAAATAGAATGGCTACATATTCTGGCTAACAAACATATAAACACACAAACAAACCTGTTGTTTCATTGATGAATGCTGAATAATGTAATGATTACAAATTACAACTTTGGATAAAGAATAGATTGCAACATACTACCAGGTGTCGTCTGCTACGGCAAAAAGTGCTTATTCACAAAGTTAACAAAACCCAGATATGTATTGTATTTATTATTCTTCCAAAAAGACAATTTGCTAGATTGGAACCTAAGTGTTATGGGTAATATTCTCAACAGTTTAAACCAAAATGTTTTATTGGTTAAAAACATTCTAAGCTATATGAATATTAGACCAGTATTTTATATTTCCACTTGGCATACAAACAATAAAATTACCCATAATTCATTAGATTCTAAAATGGCTAATTCACTGTGTTGTCACTGCATTTCTGATCTGCTACCAAAAGTGGTATACTCAGAGACATAAAAAGGTAAATCTGACATTATCAGCCCTGTCACGGCTTTTATTGAAATATTTAACAAACCATGCTTGTGCATGAGTCATATGCAATATATTTTTTTTGTTTGGCAAAACAATTTTTAAAATACATAAGAATATTGTACTCAAATTGGGTCATCTAATGATAACATATATGGAGCAGTCGGTGAGCACCTAAGACTTAAGCAAAGTCATATTACCAATAACATTTTGTAAACAAATTCATGACATACTTGATCATCATTAAATCTTCTATGACTTCAACTTTAAAATTTTGTATAATGAGTGTCCCAAATTACGAAAATCTCTGTTTTAACAATTTTTCATAGATATAAGAAGATGTGGTATGAGTGCCAATGAGACAACTCTCCATCCAAGTCACTACCTCTTTACCAGCAGAACCGAATAACATGAACTATGAACTCTCCATCCAAGTCACAATTTATAAAAGTAAACAATTATAGATCAAAGTACGGTCTTTAACACGGAGCCTTGGCTCACACCGAACAGCAAGCTATAAAGGGCCCCAAAAATTACTAGTGTAAAACCATTCAAACGGGAAAACCAACGGTCTAATCTATATAAAAAACGAGAAACGAGAAAACTTATGAACCACATCAACAAACGGCAACAACTGAACATCAGATTCCTGACTTAGGACAGGTGCAAAGAATTGCAGCGGCATGCCTTCTAAAAATAGTTATCATTGAATACAGAAAAGATTTAATACCCATGAAATACTGTTCGGTTTGAACCAAACAAACTGCCCAGGATAAGGAGTAAAAATTGTTTCATTTTGATAACATTCCACTTAAAATGAAATAATTTTATCTGACTATGTCATGATCTAAATCGAAAAATGGTTAAATATGGGATTGCAATCATAAATTCATGCTTTTACTAATAAATTTTAACTTTTTTTGCCCTTCCTAAGACTAATATAAGTACAAAACACATTCTATTTATTTAGCAGATATGCAAAATCAAGTAAAGTGCATTATCTCCGGCAGCATTTCTCCAGCCGCACACAACACAAGAGATCCCATTGTACTCCTATTCATACAATAAATTAGAGAGAATTTTCAAAAAGTCTTTGAAATATTTCATAGTGCACTGTGACCAATCAGGTTCCAGTGCCGATAACAAACGGCTACTCTTGTGGGGATCATTTATAAATTCAAGTGAGTTTTTACTACCAAGAATTTTTGATAACTGTGATGAAATGGCTGATTTACCTTTACATGTCTCTTATATAACCTTACAGAATTTCATGATTGTTATCATGTTAAAAACTAACAACTTAAAGAGGTGTATACTGTTATGTAAGCTTTGCATCATTAAAACTCCAAATATGAAATTATTTGATTATAATAAAGTATTTTTGTTATTGTTAAGGGTAATTGTAAATAATTAATAATTCATTGATATTATTTCCATACTTTTTTTATAATTAAAAAGCATGATTTTTTCGATATACAAAATACATGTCTTTTGTTGTCTAATGGGTTTCAGAACCTTTAAGGTGGTACCAAACACCTTGACTAAAATTAATTTGTCTCGTTTAATTTTCATAAAATTTTGACAAAATATTTACTTTGACCCTTTGACAAAAATATAAAAATTTCAAAAAACTTGAACCACACACTTAATCGGATAAATTTCATTGGATATATAGTAGTTTGACAAACACTAATTTTGATCATTGAGAAGCTTATTATTTCCTTAACAATAGAATGTGATTAAAACATTCAGCTGATTTATACAGAGTTATCTCCCTGTAGTGTTATGTACCACCTTAAATAATATATTCCTAAAGCTTGTTGAGAACAAATATTACAATTTGTCACGAAAAGTCATGCATTTTGTACACTTAGTAAAATATCGCTCAATATGTATGGCTCTTGGTCAGAACATATTTTATTGCCATTATTTAGTTAAAATAGGCCTTAGTTGATAATTAATAGGACGCTGGCCAAAAAAATATTCAGTTATTACTGTATGCCTAAAAACCAGTGTCATCAAACAAAAAACCAAAATGTATCCCTTTGCAAAAGCATACCTTATATACGACAGTTTTCACCTAAATAATCAAATATTTCTTTACATTTGCATACTATTATTACTTTATTAACTTAACCTCACTGGGCCTGGGTTAAATGGTTCTGTAATTTATGAATATTCTATTCATGAAAAGTTATTGTCATAATAAATTTTTATCAAAAACTTCAATATTCCCATACCAATTTAATATGTAATGCTACCCTGGGACATTGACTTACCAAATAGATTATGTCTCAATACAAAGGCTATTGTATCCATGCCCAGACTGGTTAAATTTACTATGCAATAACATGCAGGAATGTTTAAATCTTGTTTAAAAACATTCTTGTGTATAAAATGATATATTTGTAAATGATATAATAGTTCACTTGGTAAGATGTTTACTAGATATATTTTTATCCATGTTCAATTCCTTGATATTATGAGCTATCCTAGGAAAAATATAAAGTGTTCTCCCCAGTATTTTCAAATAGCACTATGAGAATTGAACTCTATCAATATTGCATTGAGGTACCCAGGTGCCTCATGGTCTTGGAGAGAACACGGAGTCATATAGGAAGGCTTTACTTTCAGATAAAAAAAAAAAATGGAATTTGCTTCTTAAAAAAATATTCAAATTGATATCCATTTCAATTTTTTAAATCTTAGTGCATTTATGGCTAATCCCAATCACCTTCCCTGCAACTTTTTTTATACTTGATATCCCCACCATTTAAGTGTTTTCATTTCAAGACTTTAATGAAGATCTGAAAATTTAACAACATATATATTCTATAATATTTTACCTTCAGATCTTTGGTACTTGGCACAAAGTGTTGTAAGTCTTTGACTGATGCCATTAGGAATGGAATTCGGTCATCCAGTACCTGTAAAATATGTAACAGATTGACTCATAAGAATAAAAAAGCTGTGATATGATTGCCAATGAGACAACTACCTATGAAGAACAAACGACACATTAATAAATTTAATGAAATTGAACAAATATGGTAATAAAAATTAGAGGGCGACAGCTCTATTACTGTCAAACAATCCAGACGTGTAAAATGTAAGAGCATACATGACTGCTAAAGAATATTTGTTTACCATCCAGTGGCAAATATTTGAAACATATAAAGGATGAGAACAACTTGTAAGTTTAGAAAATATTTGTTTGGCCATGAATAAAAGTAGGCTATTTTGACTGCTGCTTCATAATAAAGGAAAATTTGAAAGAGTTGGAAATTTTGCCTTGCAAAACAACTAGGTTGTTCTTGGGTTGCTGTCTCATTTACATTCACACTGCATCTGCAATCATTCATATGGTACAGGGGTACCTAGCCAAGATTATTGAACTACATAGAGATTGGTCAGTCTGTGAAATTCAGTGTAACATTTGAGAGGGCCTGGATGGGGGTATTCAGTATTCTTATAATATTTTTAGGGCATTTTTCTCTATTCTTTATACTTTTTGCCCAATATTCTCTATTCTATATTTTTTGGTCCATTTTTATCTATTCTTTATATTTTTGCCTATTATTCTATATTCTGTAAACCCTCATCCACACCCTCATTTAAGACTAACATTACTGAATCTGTAAGGCAAAGGGTAACACATTTCTGTCACCCTATTGTTTCTGGCTAGGCAAATAACCAGAAAGGTTTGAGTTATCTATTTTGTTTTATTATAGCCAGATTTTGATTGGTTGATACGAGGTAGACAATTTACTCTATCCTATGGTAAATACTCTATTACCCTTCACGGAGACGCTTGATCAAGTGTGCACTTTATTAAATACGGATGGTTGTTGTGTACAAGACGTCATAGTTTATTACTTTGAATTTGAAATTTAATAGACAGTAATAACAGAACATTCAGTATAATAAATTAAATAACACATATCTGAGAGGGTGATAGAGCAGATTGTTACCTTTTGACAAGACATTGTCAACCTTGGCTTCGCCTCAGTTGACAATGTTTTCTCGGGTAACAATCTGCTTTATCCCCCTCTCAGCTATATGTTATTTATATAAGGTTATACATTTGTACTCACATCTATCAGAGCTTCCTGTGCCAGCTGTCTAAATGATAGCAATACACCTATAATAGTCATTCTCAGTAAGACACTATCCACATCTGAAATCAACCCAAAAATATATATTTTAGTATCAATAACAATACTCCTATAATAGTCATCTCAGTAAGACACTATCCACATCTGCAATCAACACAAAAATATATATATATCAGTATTGTGATTAGAAAATCTTGAATGTTTCTAATGGTTTGAATACTTTATGAATAGTACAGAAAATGACTGCACCAATGTTATAAAAATCATGTCCACATGGGGTCGGTTACTAGAGCTTATTCTCCAACTGACTCTGTAGTTCTACTTATACACTTGTCTGAATTATAGTCACAAGTAGCACTAACAGTTGATTTAGTTTAGTTAATAACACTGTTTTATAAAGGCATTACTTTGCTTTAATTCTAAGGGTTTACAGACCAATCATTAAAATTCTTCAATACTTTTTTCTCAATGAAAATTCTGTAACTTTTTCTACATGTATTCCTTGAATAAATATAAATAAATCTTTTGAAAAGAAGAAAACTGCTGTATGATAACATAACCATGTGGAACTGGGAGCTATTATTTACTAATGACTCCTCAACTATAAGTATTCGGTGAACAGGAAGTTGATATTCCACGAATGTGAAAACACATCACATTGTACAGCATGCTCACATAAAAAACCTAATATCAAATTTTAGGAAGTCCGGGATTACATTTCCTTAGAAAAATACGACAAAATTTCATGTATGGTCATTATCATGTGTAAAACTATATTTAAGTATTTGGTAAACAGAATGAGAAAAATGTTAAAGGTGTAAATCAGTATTCCCCCATCTTCAGAGCAGGGGTGTCATAAAATTATATAGTTTGCAATCAAATCAATTAAGCACAAATTGAAAATTAGGATATCTGAAAACATTGTCCACTCATCACTCACTGTGACAGCAAACTGTCAATACACATTTTCCAGGAACAAGTGTATGTATATAAAGGTGGTACGGTGACCTATAATTGCTTACATCCACATCACTTGAACTCTGGTGGATAAAAGTCTGATTGGCAATCATACCACATCATTTGGGAGACTGGTGGATATATTGGCAAATTATACAACATTCCGCCCCCCCCCCCCCCCCCCCCCTTTCATAAAGGTTGTCATATGGTATTTACCAATAAATCTATGTATTACAAAGTTACAATTTCTCTGATTATGAAATACAGGTATATATAACATCACTGTGTAATGTGTAATAATCTGTGTAATAAAATTCTTGTTAGTATGAGGTACACTGTTTATAAAAATATGAATAATATAAAGTGAAATTCTTTATTTGTTACAGTACTGAAGTTGTGTGAAAGTTCATCGATGACAAACCAGGACATTAATACCTAATGGAATACATATAAAAATATGAATAATATAAAGCAAAATTCTTTATTTGTTACAGTACTGAAGTTGTGGGAAAGTTCATTGATGACAAACCAGGACATTAATACCTAATGGAATACATATTTCACACTGATATGTTTTGCCCCTGGTGTCAAATCAAGAGTTAAAGACCCCTTGAGATAAAATTACATCTGTTACAAAGAAAAAAAAAACAGGAGAAAAAAAGAAGCAAGAGTCCATGAATACAGATTCTTTACAGAATGCATAGTTTAGCTTCAAGCATTCTTTGAACTTATATATATACATTGTGTAACAAAAAAGAATATAACTTTGTATCAAACATAGAAACTATCATTATATATAAGTACAACTGCAGTCTGGAACAAAAAGTAAAATGTCAATACAAATAAAAACAACAACTGCAAGTTATTCTTATATATTTGTAGGAAGTTATATTTTATAGTCGACAACATATTTTTCATGGAGTAACAATGTGGGGAGGAGTGTGGAGCTGGAAAATCTATGCGCATTGAAGCTTGACAAATTCAGGTCCTACCTTGCAGTCTACCAGCTAAAGACATAAACATACAAATGTTATGGTACTCTTTTCCAACTACTTTTGGGTATGCACACATATTTCAATGGGATTTGCATAGATTAAGGGGCATAACTCTTAAAATCACTGGTACTTTTGTTTCATTCATTTCCATAAACATATTCTAAGCTTCTAAGTAACACTGATGATTTAACTTCTGTTTCACATGAAGGCTTATAAACCATTGCTGAAAATGCCTATTACAAACACAAAACAGATTTCAATAGTAATCTGTATCAACAAAGATCTATGTCTTAAACATTTTGTTTTTATGTCTCATCTTCAGCCTCTAATTAATAGAAATAGACAGGTTACTTAATTGACTTGAACAAACACTTTTCTGAAATTTGTATAAACTGAAAGCAGAACTTCAGAAAAATGCAGACTCTTATCTTAAGCCTCTTTAGGTAAAGGCCAAGCTGCCTTCTAAAAAGTATGAAGATAGCCCACTCTTTCATAAAGGTAATTTTTCAGTGGCAAACATTATTTTCTAGGAATGTGAAAGAAAAGATTTACAAGTGCAGTGTTCTCAACCATTTCTAAGGACAGCAGTACACTTGTAGGACAAATAAAATACATCTAAACTAAAGCTTTGAAGAAGTGCATGGCAATACAATGATCTCACTCTCTGTTTACAAATACCATTGAAAATCTGAATAAAGGTCATCATGACTAGACCATAAAAGTTCAATGGTATTTTAAAACATGGTGTATACATAAAATGATGTTTTTGACTGATCAGTGGGTATAGAGTTTTTTTTAAAAGTTTCTACAAAAGTAAAGTTTAACTTACTCTGGACAAGGCTGTGAAATTCTATCGAAGACAACAGGCAATAATGAAATAAAACATCACAACATAAAATAACCATGCCATATCAACATTCAAAATTAAATCAAAATTAATAATTCTGGTTATAATTTTTAAATTAAATAAAAAAATTGGTTTAAGTTATCTTTATTTGGAAAAATAAATAAATCATCCAATATTTGTGGTAAATCCCAAAATTAAATAAAAAAGTTCAAAGATAAAACACAAATGAAGAATATTTAAATGTTTAAAATTAAAATTTTTATTATAAGGTTTAAAAAAAATAATAAAATTATTACAAAATGCACTACAAAAAAAAAGAGAAAAAAGTAAATAGTCTATAAAAATAAAAAGAAAACATAATTAATTTCAGAACACAAAAACCATGCATTACAAGATACCAAAATAAACATGCTAATCTTTTTCATTCTGTTTATAGAACTGGCAACATGCTTCACCGAAAATGTTTATATCAAAAGTTATATTTTCAAATTTGACAGATTATCTACACATTTCCATACAATATCTGATGCACAAAAATTCAAAAGTATATTGTATACGATCCTATTTATGATATAGATTTATTGATTTTTATTTGTTTAATTTCCAGTGGCAAATATTTCATGCATCTTTATAATGACATCTTACAAGGTTTGAAATGGATTATTTTTAGAAAATTAGGATGTACCTAGCCCTATAGTGTTAAATTTAGTAGGTCGGTTAACAGTTAGTCTAAACACACCCTAAAGACATATATCAATTTCTAAATGCAAGGTTTAAATGGAGGTTTATGATTTTCCTAAAGCGGGAGACCTAAACCATACTGTGTGAAGACAAATGTATACTTAACTTATACTTACGTTACTTAACAACTATGGCTCTCAAAATTTTATATGATAGAAAAACGAGCATATTGTTCATATGAAATATAAAGAAGCTCCAAAAAGCACTAGCAGTTTATTGTATAATAATTCTTCATCTTTATAAACCAATGTTTGATAGAATAAAATATGTTCCGGATAAATTAATATGCAAAGATAAACAAAGTAAGCTTCAAATACATAATCTTGTTTATTTCTATTTCTTGTTATCATATAATATAAATATGAAATTATAATCAGTTTGAAGAAGTTCTCTCATTTTAAAACTTACAATTGTATGCTAAAGATGAAAAAATGCAACCGATAAAATCATGAACAGATGAAGTTGAAAAAAAAAAATATTTTGCAAAGCTAGAACAAAAGACTTTTGTTTGAACTTTCAAAGTTTATTATTAAATAATTAAAAATGGTGGCGAAGCAAAAAGTGAAAAAAAGTGTAACTAACAAAAAAAAAAATAATTAAGTCTCATTAATTCTGTCAGAAGTTTGCTTCCCTTTCTTTTAAGATTGTAAAATCAGCTTTTTAGAAAGTAACTAGTTGTTGGTTTTGAAATTGCTATGGTGTAAAGCAAGTAGTTGTAATGAAAGGTAACTGAATCAAACTGTGTCTATATAGCATTTTTTATTTCAACAGTTTACCATTCTGTAGCAATTGAGATAGAATTTGGCTATGTGCAAAAAGGGTTAAAAAAAGAATCGCTTCTACTATAAAATATAAACTTAGAAATTGTTACATTATTATTCTAATGATTCCTATTTTAGTGAGTTTTTCGGAATTAGTTCAGAGACCCAGAACACCCATAGTTAGCCAAATCACAAATAGCAAAAAGATGTCTAAGATGGAAAGAGAGTTTGAGAGATATTGTCCATTTGATTGATTGTTGCATAATGTCCAGTTACAAATATTTCATGCATATTTAGGACAAGAAATATTGAAAAACGACACAAAATGTAGATTCTGTAAAGAGAGTCAACCAGGATAAAAAAAAACATCCGCTGGAAAAAATTAAATGGTAATGTTGCTTTGTAATAAGTCCCCAATGGACACCTTAAAGAGTAATTGCAAGGGCTCCTATGTTCCTCTCTCAAAACTAGTCATGAAATTTAACATCCATGTAATAGCCAGATGTGGTTGAGAATTTATACCTTGCATACAACAGAATAGATTACCCCACAGCATATGTCTTACTGCAGAGAGTAAAAATACAGGTGATAATATTACTATACACCAGTCAACCCTTGGAGTAGATCTAGTTGAAGTTCGGTTAGTAAAAAAGAAAGGTCAAACATATAACTATGATTTGGCTATCATGGACAATCTAGGTAAATTACGACAAATAAAATCCACCAAAATAAGCAAATTTTTCATTACCAAGATAGGAAAATTTTTAAACAAAAACATGAATTTTGAAATCAAATTTTGAAGTGTTTAAGTTTCCTAGTGTTTCTTGCCCAAAAAATTGAAAACTAGGACCTATGGTGTGCAAAGTTTCCATTTTAGATACATGCAAATGACTTGAAAATATGACAAAGCTAACTAAACACATAACTTTTCCTGTCTTGTAAGTTTTAAATATTATTTTGACACTCCAAGAATCCATTCACAAACAACATGCAAATATATTACATATTCATTCCTATCCGCATTCAACATAGTAGACCTTACACACAAGACATACAAATCTCAATGAAGAAAATTTTCTGAGCAGACGACAGTTTAATTTTAGCAGACGTAAGCACATATTATTCTATGCACATGCTCGTGCAATAATGCCACTTACCTGAAGATGTATTTTTTGTATCTAAAATTCAACCAATGAAATGTTTACAAATATATATATGCGACACTATAATTACAAAATTTTTACCAGCTTTCTTCATCATGGAGAAAAGTAATGTTTCCACAGGCCCAATACTGTTAGTCTGTGTATAGCTCATGATAAGGTATATTTCAAGAACAATATGATTAATTCATGATGATATTTCTGTTAGTCTAAATATCTAAATTGTACTATCATTCAAAAAGAAATAAATCCTCGAGACATTTCAAAATATGCTTATCATAAACGACAATTAAAATTAAAATCACATTATTTATTTGCACAAATTGAAGTCGACAAAGTAATCTTCCCTAAAAAAATAAATGGAAAGAAAAAATACACACAAAACTTCATGCATAAACTATAAATAATATAAGTTTAAAAGAGAGATTTATCATAAAATGCAGTATTTATATATACTTTATTCATTCAGTCAGAAACTGCAGGATTGCAGATATTGAATTTTTTATCAATTCTCTAGCACTCTCATCACCCCCCCCCACCCCCCCCCCCTCCAAAAAAAATATTTCACATCACAAGCTGTGGACTAATAAAATGACATCATTTTAACCCATGAAGCTAACTGTTTCTATAGAACTTCCAAAGGCAAGTGAAACATTTTTTTGCAAAATTAATGGCGAGGTTAAAGGTCAGTTTGGAGAATGGAATGAATTTGAACCAAATTATGTAAAGAGGCAATTTCAAAATTATCTTCAATTAAAGGATTTAAAAGTATTCAAAGAAGACTTAATCCCAAAACTGCAAATTTTTTTAACTGAAAATCAAAATGGTAAAAGAGAGGCGAAAGATACCAAAGGGACATTCAAACTCATTAGTCGAAAAAAAAACTGTCAATGCCATGGATAAAAAAGAAAAAGACCAATAGACAAACAATTGTACACAAAACACAACATAGAAAACTAAAGACTGAGCAACACAAACCCCACAAAAAACTGTGGGTGATCCCAGGTGTTCCGGAAGGGTAAGCAAATCCTGCTGCATATGTGGCACCTGTCGTGTTGCTCATGTTAGTACAAACCCAGTAATAAGTCTAATTTGGTAGGTCACATTCGGGAAAAAGCGAACGGGATAAAACATTATTACTTGGTATTATTGAATAAACACCTGAAATTATCGTCCATATATTCATCACTTTACTTCTAACCCAAATCAGTATAGTAAATCATAAGTTCATTACTAAATAAAAAAAGTGCTTTTTGAAATTTGAAGCCAGATTTATCCCATCAACAATTGGGATAATAATTATTGAAAGATGAAGCATGTATATACAAGAATAGCAAAAGCACAGCTAGCTGATTTTAATTAATCTTTAGGGTTTACCTGAATTTTGTTTAAAAAAAAACTCTGGAAAGCATTTCGGTAGTAACAACATATTTAAAGTATCTTAATGCATTTGTAAATCACCCTTTGAGAATAGAAAGTATAATTGGTAATTTTTTTTATCAAAATGAAAATGACATTCCAGCATTTTTTGTATTAATAACCATTGTGTAGGGCATTTCTATCCAATCAAAACATTTTCATGTATGCATTTTATAATATAACCAAAAATGCATTAGGTTCCGAAACGGTAAGTAGGTAATTGAACAAATTTGTCAGTTGAGTGATCTCCCTTTTAACTACATGACATTGTTTAAACATTACACATGGACTTCTTAATTAAATGAGTTCTCCTGTCAGGTGTGTCGATCTACCTGTACAAGTAATTAGTGATCTTTAGCTAACCAAAATGGCGGCGACTAGAAAAACGATAACAAGTTTTGACAATGGCGGTTATCATTTGACGATGGCGGAAGATAATTTAACAAAAACTGTATGAGATTTTGTAACTGTTATTTATATGGTCTGGACAAGATCACAATGATTGCGTATGGAAAGAATTTTGAAAGGAGGGGGTCTAGACAGTATGACCTTATAAAAAATATTGACGAAAAGATACAATTTTCAAATAATAATTGATATTTGTTTAACTGTACATTATACATGTTTGAATGCAAACTAGAGTTAATAGTGGTATATCGACACATTCTCAAATAATAAATAAAATGCTCCGCAGGGCGCAGCTTGATACGACCAATATCCAAAATCTAAATACATGGTTAGATTCAGCATATCAAAGAACCCCAAGAATTCAATTTTTGATGAAATCAAACAAAGTTTAATTTTGGACCCTTTTGACCTCAATGTGGACAAAGTTGATAATGGGGCACAAAAATCAAAAATCTAAATACATGGTTAGATTCAGCATATCAAAGAACCCCATATATTCAATTTTTGTTGAAATCAAACAAAGTTTAATTTTGGACCCCGATTTGGACCAACTTGAAAACTGGGCCCATAATCAAAAATCTAAATACATGTTTAGATTCAGCATATCAAAGAATCCTATGAATTCAATTTTTGTTAAAATCAAACTAAGTTTAATTTTGGACCCTTTGGACCTTAATGTAGACCAATTTGAAAACAGAACCAAAAATTAAGAATCTAAATACACGGTTAGATTCGGCATATCAAAGAACCCCAATAATTCAATTTTTGATGAAATCAAACAAAGTTTAATTTTGGACCCTTTGGACCTCAATGTGGACCAATTTAAAAACGGGGCCCAAAATCCTAAAAAATTAATACACTGTTAGAATCAGCATATTAAAGAACCCCAAGAATTCAAGAATAAAACCCCATTGAAATTGGTCAAGAAATAAGCGATTTATACAAAGTATCTTCTTTTGTACAATACTGTGCAATTGAATATTTCTTGCTATTGCGCAATACTGTACAATTGACAATTTCTTGCTATTGCGCAATATTGTGCTATTGGATATTTCTTGCTATTGCACAATACTGTGCAATTGAAGATTTCTTGCTATTGCGCAATACTGTGCAATTGAAGATTTCTTGCTATTGTGCAATACTGTGCAATTGAAAATTTCTTGCTATTGCACAATACTTATTTTATAATAATTTACACATCCTGTTTGGTGTGTATCTCCTACCATATCTTCATTATTTGCTTTTAAATATAAAACAGAAATAACCAACTTAAAATGGAAAATTTTAAAAATAAAAAAAAAAGGGAAAAAAAAAAATCCCCCCCCCCCCAAATTTTTTGAACCCCCTTATGATTCATCACCCCCAAACTCAATCCCAGCATTCCCTGTGTGATATGGAACCTTGTGGTACAATTTCAGAGAGATCCATACACTTGAACACAAGTTATTGTCTGGAAACTAGAAAAATGCTTATTTTTGGCCCCTTTTTGGCCCCTTATTCCTAAACGTTTTGGGCAATTACCCCCAAACTCAATTCCAGCTTTCCCTTTGTGATATGGAACCTTGTAGTACAATTTCAGAAAGATCCATACACTTACACACAAGTAATTGTCATGAAACTAAAAAAATGCTTGTTTTTTGCCCCTTTTTTGGCCCTAATTCCTAATATTTTGAGGCAATTACCCCCAAAATTAATCCCAGCATTCCCTGTGTGATATGGAACCTTGTGGTACAATGTCAGAGAGATCCATACACTAACACACAAGTTATGTCTGGAAGTTACAAAAATGCTTATTTTTGGCCCCTTTTTGGCCCCTAATTCCTTAACTGTTGGCACCATAACCCCCAAAATCAATCCCAACCTTCCTTTTGTGGTATTGAACCTTATGGTAAAATTTCATAGAGATCCATTCACTTAAACTAAAGTTAGAGTGCGAAAACCAATGTGTCTTCGGACGACGCCGGGCGACGCCAGACGACGACGACGACGCCAACGTCATACCAATATACGACCGCAAAAATTTTTTGCGGTCGTATAAAAATATCATATACATGTACTGTGAATTAATTAATACTGTAAGTTCAGAAATTATTGCAAGGTTTTTATTAATGCAAATAATGCGACTGGGTGAGTATTGCAATAATAATAAAATGCTCCGCAGGGCGCAGCTTGATACGACCGCAGAGGTCGAACCCTGAACAGTTGGGGCAAGTATGGACACAACATTCAAGCTTGATACAGCTCTGAATTTGGATTGTGATTAAATATTTGACAAAGCATAGGTTTCGGACACAGAATGAATGTGGTCTAAGAACTTTAAAATTTTAAATTGGACATTCACCTATTATGGTTCAATATCCAAAATCTAAATACATGGTTTGATTCAGCATATCAAAGAACCCCAAGAATTCAATTTTTGATGAAATCAAACAAAGTTTAATTTTGGACCCTTTTGACCTCAATGTGGACAAAGTTGATAACGGGGCCCAAAAATCAAAAATCTAAATACATGGTTAGATTCAGCATATCAAAGAACCCCATATATTCAATTTTTGTTGAAATCAAACAAAGTTTAATTTTGGACCCCGATTTGGACCAACTTGAAAACTGGGCCCATAATCAAAAATCTAAATACATGTTTAGATTCAGCATATCAAAGAACCCTAAGAATTCAATTTTTGTTAAAATCAAACTTAGTTTAATTTTGGACCCTTTGGACCTTAATGTAGACCAATTTGAAAACGGAACCAAAAATTAAGAATCTAAATACACGGTTAGATTCGGCATATCAAAGAACCCCAATAATTCAATTTTTGATGAAATCAAACAAAGTTTAATTTTGGACCCTTTGGACCTCAAAGTGGACCAATCTAAAAACGGGGCCCAAAATCCAAAAACTAAATACACGGTTAGATTCAGCATATTAAAGAACCCCATGAAATCAAGAATAAAACCCCATTGAAATTGGTCAAGAAATAAGCAATTTATAGGAAGTATCTTCTTTTGCACAATCCTGTGCTATTAAATATTTCTTGCTATTGCGCAATACTGTACAATTGACAATTTCTTGCTATTGCGCAATATTGTGCTATTGGATATTTCTTGCTATTGTGCAATACTGTGTAATTGAAGATTTCTTGCTATTGCGCAATACTGTGCAATTGAAGATTTCTTGCTATTGTGCAATACTGTGCAATTGAAAATTTCTTGCTATTGCACAATACTTATTATATAATAATTTACACATCCTGTTTGGTGTGTATCTCCTACCATATCATTATTATTTGATTTTAAATATAAATCAGAAATAACCAACTTAAAATGGAAAATTTTAAAAGAAACAAAAAAGGAAAAAAAGAAAAAAAGGAAAAAAAAATAAATCCCCCCCTAAAATTTTTTGAACCCCCATTATGATTCATCACCCCCAAACTCAATCCCAGCCTTCCCTTTGTGGTATGGTACCTTGCAGTACAATTTCAGAGAGATCCATACACTTGAACACAAGTTATTGTCTGGAAACTAGAAAAAAATGTGTTTTTTGGCCCCTTTTTGGCCCCAAATTCCTAAACGTTTAGGGCAATTACCCCCAAACTCAAACCCAGCTTTCCCTTTGTGATATGGAACCTTGTAGTACAATTTCAGAAAGATCCATACACTTACACACAAGTTATTGTCATGAAACTAGAAAAATGCTTGTTTTTTGCCCCTTTTTTGGCCCCTAATTCCTAAAATTTGGAGGCAATTACCCCCAAAATCAATCCCAGCATTCCTTTAGTGATATGGAATCTTGTGGTACAATGTCAGAGAGATCCATACACTAACACACAAGTTATGTCTGGAAGTTACAAAAATGCTTATTTTTGGCCCCTTTTTGGCCCCTAATTCCTTTACTGTTATTACCATAACCCCCAAAATCAATCCCAACCTTCCTTTTGTGGTATTGAACCTTGTGGTAAAATTTCATAAAGATCCATTCACTTAAACTAAAGTTAGAGTGCGAAAACCAATGTGTCTTCGGAAGACGCCGGACGACGCCGGACGACGACGACGCCAACGTCATACCAATATACGACCACAAAAATTTTTTTGCGGTCGTATAAAAATACCCCTTATGATATCTGGGTCAATATGCGTAATTGATTTCCCGTAGGCGGTAATGGTAATGTTTTCTCCTGTAGCTCAGTCCATATCGTAAACTTGGATATGTATGATGGCTCGTTTCGAAGCTGAGACATTTTCACATGTGTGGTTAAATTTTCGGGGTACCAAGTGAGATTCATTTTTCCGTAAATTAGCATACCCTGAAAATCCTTTCGTGATGCGGCTCCTCGTGGTCAAAAACCCTTTTTTCACACAATAAGTTCTTTGAAAATTTAATACTTTGAACACATTTAATAGCTCCATAGTTTTTACACATTTATTCTATGGTACTCTACTTTCCAAATCAACACAAATGGTTAAGCTCAGTCACTTGTTAAAAATAGAAACATATCCAATATCACTACACAGAGATTTTTTGTTTACGCACAACTTTTGAGTTCCTCAATTTGAGGCACATTAGGGATGTTGACCCATCTGATACATATATCTCATAATCTGTATGCAGCTTGCAATAATTTCTGAATTTACAGTATTAACAATTTTCGTCCAATGAGGAAAAATTCAATTTCCATGGAATTTGTACAATTTCTTAAAATACTGTGGATTCATTTATTTACGTGGGTATCAATTTTCGTGGATTGAGGAAATCTTGCATTTTCGTGGATATTTAATTTCGTGGTTTTGCCAATGTCTGCATACAAACCAATAGAAAATTTGTAAATCCTTGAACATTTAAATTTCTGATTTACCTGTATCCACGAAATCCACGAAAATTGGTATCTAATGAATAATTATGAATCCACAGTAAGACAACTGAAATTTTGTGATCTGAATCCACAATACATTTATAAGTATATTTACATAACTACATATTTAAATGGAAGTATGGATATCTAAAATTTACATTTCTATTCAATACAATTCCTACCTGTTTTTGCAACTAGTGAGACAGAGTCTAATTTTTCTAAAATATATATAGCTTTCGAAATAAATATTGCTCATTTTAAGTATTGAAACTTTAGAGTAAGTTCATAGGAAGAGGCAATTAAGTCTTCAGAAACTTTCATTTATTCAATAGCTCTAAAGGAACATTTTATATTTCATCTTGCCACCATGTTAAGGTTTAAAGTTTAATTATCAAGAGTGGATTAATGTTGAAATTCATGAGAATGAAAGATGAAATGCATTTCATATATGTTTCTTTGGTTTCCTGTATGAAACTCCAAGACAGAATAGTACAACAGATATGGGTAACATCATAATGAATAAGCTAGCAATCACAACATACAATAGAGACCTTTTACTTAGAGACAAAATATATAACTTTATTAAGCTTTGGGACAACATATAAATACAGTGACTTTGAGTTTAAACCTGTAAAGACATATTCATGTATGTACGTTTTATCAATTTTTATCTAAATTTGAAACCTAATTAAACACTTAAAATCAATGTAAAATTTCTCAAACAGTAACATAAATTCAACAAAATGCAAATAAAACAACCTGAAAAAAAAAACATGAATGAACCACCTAGCACGCATGTGCATGGCAATTATCGTGCAGTGTATACAATAGGATCACACGACCGGAAACCGGCTGCAAGCGCAGACATAAAAGATAGAAACAACATTCAGATCTTACTTGCTGATTGCTTGGGTCCTAAATAAATCAGTAAAATTGGTTATTAGTGAAAGCTACCATACATCTACAGGTGCAAGAAAATTATACATGTCTATGCAACCATTTAACTGACTAATTGCTAGTTATACGTTTTCCTGGAAGTCTTCAAAATAAAAGTACTGCTTTGTTAACAAAAGTGATTTTTTGGGGTTTTTTTAAGTCAAATTTAACAATTTTTTATCTCAGATTTTTGAAATGTAAATATCAAAAGGATTAGTTTTATACTTAACACTGTATGACTATTCAAAATGCAGTACATTTTTATTAAAACAGAAATGATTAGTTCTTTATCCTATAGACATATTTACACTTTTAGGTATTTAGCTGGATTTTGTCTCTGAATGACCGTAGATTTGTCTCAGAACAACCTTCTGATGTCAAGATTTTAACTTATGGCAGAAAAATGTGCATACAAGTCTATTTTTGTGATCAATTCTTTTTCTAAACTGTATGATCATGAACTATTAAAATTATTTGCCAATTGTAAAAGTCCATTACAGATCAGCCTGAACTTGGGTAAATCTGAAACAAGCTGCTATATATGGGCAACATTGAATTTACTCATAATTTTTGCAATTTTTTTTTGCCATTATTTGAACTGAACTAACTAACCAGCTACCTGATAATTGATGAATGAAAAAGAAAATCCATGAAATCTTAAAACCAAGGCAGCATTTGGATTAGTTGAAAAATTTGAAACTTAATAAATTCCACATGTATAATTTCTTAGCTAGAAGTTTCTGCTAACCAACAGAACCAAATTCATTATAAATGGTTTACAGTCTATATTTTATGTGTAGCTAACAATACAGAATAAAATATCTTGCCTTGTGTGAAGTACATTTTTCAATTCTTATAATAAACATTTTATTTTTTCCTTTGAAAGCCAAGTAAAATAGCTATGAATGATAATAAGAACTGTGAATGATAATTGAACAACACGTCAATACATAAAATAGAGTCTTCCGTCAGTATCGAGTAACATATTCTATTTATATACACTGTTTGCTTCTAGGAGTAATTTTTAAAGAGAAACATCTTGTAGCAGCCCCCAATTAAGGTCGAACAAAATGTTTTTAAATTCAGAAATTATTGTGTACATATATTATTTTTATTTATGAAGAATGGACTAAAATGTGAGCTTAATTATTGCAACTTCAGAAAAATCAGCATATAGATATATGTTTCAGATATCAGAATGCCAGTTCTTATCATTGCAAACTCACCAAGTCAATTTTTCAAATTAATAAAACCTCACAATAATTTCTGAATTTACAGTAACACGTCATAAAAATATGGAGGAATACCAATAATACCAAAAACCTTTAGATATTACTCTGCTGGAAGATATTTTAAGCAAAATTCTTAGACTTATTTCTTCATGGGACTATATATGCTATAGGATTTGTAACTTATTGAAAATGCAGACCTGCCAACTATCCCTATTTTTGGAGGATATCCCCAATGAGAGGTTTTGACCTGAATTTTGAAATTCTTTATTATACGAACTGACCACCTCAAAATAGGCATTCAAATGAGTTAAAAGAGTATTTAAGCACATATATACCCATTTAACCAATATAGTAGTAGATTAAAAACACTGATGACAATATAAGAGGAGCATTATGTCCTCCTGCACTTAAAATCCCCCATGGAGATTTTGAAAAGTTGGCAGGTATGAAAATGTGTGCTATTTTTGTTAATTCATCTCAAGATCTACTCGAAATCTATGTTAGAAAGCATCAATCATATATTATTTCCAGCTTTCTGGAAAATCTAAATTTAATCGAGATTCTACATCCTACAATATTCTAATGATGGTCTCTCTTGCATAGCTGTAAAAATATTGAGAACAGGGACCCAGTTCATACTGGTAACTTACTTGTTAACTGTCTGTACAAGTCTCTCATTACTTCTGGTTTGTCGTAGTTAGTCCTCAGTTTCTGTAAGACCTCTTTGTTACCGACGACTAGTTTCTGCAGGAAAAATTGAAGTTTTAACTTTAAATTACCAGGCATACACGTTTCTCTTGCTTTATGTGTAAATTCTAAGAAACAGAAGATTTTAGCGAAAAAGATTCCACACCCCTATCTCACTACAGTTGTGGAATCTATACTTTCAAGATTATGACTTTGATAAAATTATATTTTATTAAATCTTTAAACTATTTATCAAAAGATCAGTTGCTCTTCATTACACCAATGCCCCCCCCCCCAAAAAAAAATAAATAAATGTAAACAAATTTAATATAGTTTGTGCAAATTATAAATCATACAGATTATCTGGGTGTATTCATTTAACATTTGAAATTTTTTTAATTTTTTCACTCGGTTCTAAATATATAGCCCTGAAATGATAATAAGTATCTTTAAACAGTCATGACCCTGTTACAAACAGTGTCTGAACATCTTACTTTCAGTTCATCAACCTGGCTAGCCACATGATTCATCAGCCTCTCTCCCATATATTTCATACCATATGGACCAATCAGCTCAGCCAAGGCCCTTAACTCTGTCAAATCTGCATATTCCTCAGCAGCAAAGAACTGGTTCCCATCTGTTTGTATACTGACAAAGGCTTTATGGTTGGGGGAAAATATGACTGGATTCTGGCCTGCATTTACTGTCACTCTCCGTAATAATACTTCCAGATACCTGCCAATGATTGAAATTAAATAATTATAGAATAAATAATAGAATTCAAATATAGAAAAATATTCAACGAGTGAGTTAATTATCAGTGTTGTTCAGGTCTTCAGTTGAATATTTTTTCAATATTTGAATTCTTCGATTAGTTTTTTTTTTATTACATTGACCATGGACTTTTAAATGGTGATAAAAGTATAAATGACAAGGAATTATATCTTTTCTACGCATTCCCAATTCGTTTGGATGCAACGTCATTGAAAATGTCTTGATAACACCCATAGTTCTATAACCTCAGAGGAGTGAATAATCGGATTAATTTCACATGTGAAATTATCGGTTTTTATTTCACTGGGAAATCAGGGTATTTCTTTAAAACCTATGTAATAACATCTATTTATCTTAATTTGGTGGTACAATATTTCTTATTATTTGTTATGTGTTGTCCTTTGTCCTTTAATGCTTTTCTCATTGATCCCTAGTGCATGTTATTTCAATGATTTCACAATTCAATTAAAATTATGTCAGATAAACGCAATGAGTTATAAATCAAGTTAATGTTAATTTAAAAGTTTTTACATGCATGTAAACAGCATTCGTTCTCATGTGTATAGAATGTTAAAAGAAATATGTTTTGGATCCATTAAAACATCAATACCAGAAACAGATTAAAAGTCTTTCAGCAAGTGTGAGCCCTGAGTAAGGGAGCTACCATTTGATTTTTATGGGGGGGGCTAGGATGAAAAACTTTGTTCTGCATTTTTTTTTAATTGTAATCTCTGTCCTGCCTTTTTATTTTTCACTTTATTCGGTCCTGCCTTTCTTTTTTTTTAGTGTATCCTGACTTTTTTTACATAAATTGTCATCCTGCCTTTTTTTTTTTGCCAAGTTGCTCATCCTGCCTTTTTTTTTAACTCAAAACTCCTGTCCTGCCTTTTTTTTTCAAATTGCATCCTATCCCCCCCCCCCCCCCCCCCCCATAAAAATCAAATGGTAGCTTCCTAACTTACCAGTTGGTATAATTAGCAGTAATTGTTTTCTCCCCAGTAAAGCTATCTATATGCTGAGTCTGTTGTGGCAATACACTGTTAAAGATTCTAGCAATGTCTATGTTTACTGCAAAATACAAAATAAGTATAATTCAATTTACGTAAATATTGAATGTACTAAGCCACATCTCCTTATTTTCATATTTAGTCAGAAATGGTCTTCCCTACAGTGACAAAAAAAAAAAAAAAACTAAACCCTATGCCCCCTCCCATAAATTGAAACAGTTTATCATGACCTACTGGTAGTGTTTTATCTTTTCAGCATCCCCCTGAAAAAAAATGTTCCCATTTTCAGATTTTTCTGATTATTATACTCATCCAGAGTTTTGAAGTGTGGAAACATTCAACCTAATTTGAATAGGCTTTTACCAAACAATGAAGGCACTGATCTGGTGAGAACTGAGTGATGATGATTGAAAGAGCTGTCAGTTGAACTAAAAGTATTAAAAACCACGTAAACTATGCAGCAGAAAAAAAAAGATATTTTTTATAAAGATCTAATATACCTACCATAATTTTCTAGTCCCTGTAGGACATTCATGACAGATTTAACACTGTTTAATAATTCCGATGGTTTTGCAATCTCTGATGTGTCTGGATTGTACATCATCATTCCAACTAAGGCTCTAAAATAGAAATACATATGATTGATTGATGGTTTACTAATTCCACTTGTGATCAAGGAATCTTTATTGTATCTCAATTGTACATCATCATACAAATACATCAATTTTAAAAAAAACACATTTTTTCATAATTTCTTATTTACAGAATTAAAAGCCATATAAATTATCTAATCATGCAATACTTTTCTATCCTGTTTTAAAACTTAAAACAAACTTTAATTACAAGATAAGTTGATTTACCTATGTGACAGGCCTTGCATGCTATATTCAACAATCGTTACATCTCACGGGGCAAATATATATATATATATATAGATTCTGCCATTGCATTTGGTGTGATGTGATAAGGCTTCACTTGAGACAATTCCATTTTATAATTTAAAATGTGAGGCATGCTGAGAACTTTGAATTTAAAAATTTTACTGTTGAGTGTGAAGAAATATTGTATTGCACAATTTTCAGTGGTGGAATCTGTTTCTGTAATGATTTTTAGACAATAATAAGACAAACAGTATCTTCCTTTTTCAATGGACAGAAAAAAAGATGTGTTCTATTTTGTGCAAAGTTGACTTTTCTATTGAAGTCAAAATAGCAAATTCAGAAAATTTGACGTCACAATTGAATATTGACTTATGAATAACTGAGATGAACAGTGTGATTCACATTTTGATTATAAAGAAATAATCAAACAGTAGAGGAAAGCATAAATAGGCTTCGATTTAGAGAAAATGATTTATCATATTACGTTACTCCATGAATCAGAATAGTAAGTACTTGGTGTCTTAAAATAATGTCCTATATCTAAATTGATATACACATGTGGAAGTGTAAAAGCTGCAAGAAAGCTATGTATACTATACAAATGGTCAATATTGAAGAAACATTTCAGTGAAAAAAACCTAGTTAATATAATGTCAAAAGGTAGTTTCAAACCAATTTCAGATTCATGTAACTATGTTTTTTTTTTTTTTGTTACATATATCTATTTATAAAAGTCCCTTTCCATTGTTTGTCATTGTTTATTAAGTAAACAATATTCAATAATATTTCAATAAATATACACCAATACTCACTTATTAAATCTTGTTTCTAAGTGTTGTAAGAAGAATTCCCTCGGTACAAATCCATGCTCCCATACTTGTATCACATTGCAGTAGTTTATAGCATAGCATAATTCCGTTAGAGCCATATGTAACTTGTCCATTCTAAAAATACCATATAAAGATTTTAACTTTGATACAATATAACATCTACAAATATTCCTTTTGCAAATTTGAGAAAGAAATTTGGTAAAAAATTACAACTTGTTAAATTTTTAGATCCTCAAAGTACTCACATTTTTGTTGATTTTGTTAGACCTAACTTCCTGTTAATGAATTTGCCCCAATACAGGAACCTCATATTACCAATGTTTTGTGGTTTTTCTGTCCATGAAGGAATAGTCTTTGTTGAATTCAATCAGGCACATGTTTTCTAGTCTTCAGGCCATTTAAAAATATTATGTAAGATACTAGTATATAAATGCATCTCATTGGCTAGTCCAAGAATGCACTGACATCTAACGTCCTTATGGGAGACTTGCCGTTGGACGCCAGAGACATATAGAAAACATGGAAGTTGAGGACTGTTATGCTACTATCTAAGAGACACCGTCTCTTATCTTCTTTCATTCCTATGCTGTAATTATTTTCACAAAAATGTGATGATATAAGTCATCATTCATGCAATATCCCTTTCTTTGTTCTTTAAATAGCAAGAACATCATTTATAACCACTGATAATGTGGTCATAGAACAAAAACTTTGGATGTTTGCTCCTCTTGTTTTTGAATTTTTGCCAGATATTCGGAATCCTCCGGTTTTATCCATGTGCACTACATTGAAAAAATTTCCCCACTAACCCCTACTTTTCTTTTCATAATTTTATGACATATAGGTTAAAAAGCCATATTTGAAAATGCTATAAAATCTTTGTTATTTTTTCATAATTTTTTTTAAGAAAAAGGGTGCCAATGTTAAATATATGAAAGTCTAGAGAGAATTATTTCAGGTCTTTTTTTCAATGGCTTATATCTGGAAAACAGGCACACGGACCCTTAATTTTTTTCTGCTTTTTAAGTTCCTTTATTTATATACTATCAATTTATATCAGTCTTTTAAAAAGCTTGTTACTTTGAAACAGAGAAGCGAGCATCCTTAAACTGTTTAATAGAATTCAAAGTATATGGGGTATTCATCCATGACACAAAATCAGTACATACACAGCAAAAAACACACAAAAAGCCAAGGAACATCACTTTTATTGCTGTTCTTCATCTCTTTGTTCCAATCCTTGAAATCAGTAGCTAAGGTTCTTACTTCGAAAAAAGTTAATTGTTTTACCTTGTAAAGACTTCTCTGTTTTTTCTAGCACTCTCTTGTCCAGGTTTAATAGGTTCAGCAACAGTTTTTTTCTTTTTATCCTGTGGTCTTTTCTTCTGGGCTGTCTGTATTATGGTATCTGCACTATGTTTTGGTAGTAACTGTAGAGAATAAAATGTACCAAGATCACTTGAAAGAATAATTTATTAATTTATACATGCAGTCACCTAGTAATCTTTCTGTTTCAAAGTACCATGTTGATTCCTAGTTTAAAGGAGAATTTCTGTTCTCTTTTTTAAATTCTCTGTGCTATGCCAATTACTATTTTGGTCAAGGTATTTGATTTGATCTTTGACTTTTTGTTTTTGTTGATGATTTTTGTTGTTTTTTTTGTTGTTTTTTTAGGTGGGAAGCCATATACATTTACCGTAAGTCTTTCCTTCTAATTAACAGTTCTCATTGCCAAATTGTTTTTTTTTTAAATCTTCTACTCTGTGCCCCCCTTCACCTTGAATTTCTAAATACAAAATACAATTCTTGTTACCACTTCAGCAAGTCGGTATGCACAAGCATAAGAAATACATTTCCCCCTGTGATGTCACATATATATCAAGGTAGAGTCAATGGATTATTCTAAAATTTAGCCAAAAAATGAAATTGATAATAGTCTATAGCGGTTAAATGTAGTATAAACAAACAGTGGCTATAAATGTTTCAGTAAACACCTATTACCTTGTCACTTAGCATACATTGCTCTTCACAGATAGCTGTTATCACCTGGTTTACTTCATCTGACATCTCCTTCAGGAACCAGTGTGTATACTGGACACTTGTGGTACCTATTGAATGTCTCTATAAAATAAAGAAGGAACCAGTTTATATACTGGATACAAGTTTTAGTTTTAATAAACAAGCAAAGCAATGGAAAATTATAAAAAAAATTTAAGATTTATACTAATCGGCTCATAAGTGTAGCTTGACCTCAGATTCTACGGAGGTAAGGGGTCTGCGGTGCCCCCACAAGCTTTAAATGTTTTGCAAATGAAATAATTTTATTTTTATTATTTCAACAATAGGAACCTATTAAAAAGCTGTTTCAGTTTATTTCATAATAGTGTGGTTAATATGCCTTTGACCGCAACCTTTTGACTGCAACAGTCTCCCAATCTATTAGAGCTGCTGGTTGAATGCAAGTCCCCATGGTTATCATCAGCCCAGTAGTCAATGCTTTGCCACCGACATGACTCGAATCCTTTCATCGAAATCAAGATTTTTTTTAGTTGACCTTTACCTTTTCGTCTACTTTTTCCGTTACAGGGGATCCTTTGTGACTTTGAATTACTGTAAGCATGCATGCATATAATTTATATATGAAAATTAATAATTGAAATCATGTTATAAAGAGGTAGGACCAATTTATTTTTTCAATCAGGGCTATTTTCAAAACATTTTCATTAAAATTTACAGCACCTCAGCTTAATCTGTGTACTATGAAGTTGTAAGGACATAATGTATTTTCTGTCATAGATTTTCAGTTCAAGTTTGAATTTGAATTTTGTGTCACTAGACATATTTTTTTAGAAAGTTTCTGTGTAGGTTGAATTAAAACTAAAAACACCATTATCAGACTTTCATGATTATTTGCTCTTAGACCAGGGAAGACTCCTCTGTTTAGAGTTCTGTTGACTTTGTATTGTGACTAATGAATAAACAAATTCATCAGTTTCAACTGAGTAAATTTCTTCAACCTAATATGGGTTTTGATGTAATCTTTACATAATTTTACCTCTTCAGGACAAAGCTCATGTGTTGCGTTCATAAAATGTGCACAGATCATAGGGAAGACAATACTGAATCTATGTTGTGCTGGGAATTCCATACATTGTTTGAACTGGTGTTCATAGATCTGAGTATAAAAACTGCAAAATAAAAAAATGAGTAGTAATTAAAAGTATACTACAGTGGTGATTCAAGAGATCATATAGTAACTGTGCTATAAAATTGATATATGTGAAAATATTATTTAAGAAAAAATCATATCATTTCTCAATCCTAAAATTTTCACTGCATTTATTAATAATATAATCATTTAGTGCTTTCTTTTCTTATTTAATAAAACAAAATTTTACCAAAAATTTTAAATTACCTCAAACCTAAATTTTTATCTGAAATTGAAAGGACAAACGGACAGACACATAGACAGGAAAATATAATGCCCATACTAATATACGCAGGACATAAATTAAAAAAATTCTACTCTCTAAAGTTTTTATTTGATTGAGTCAATGAACTAGAATTAAAATTGTATAAATCATTCCCTTTTTCACATTACTGTAGATAAACACATTTAGCACATGATTGATTCTTACATCTTTTTTCAAGAATACTGTATAATTTTAGTTGCCATTTTGTACCAAGAAAAATAGAGCTCTTTGGAGGACACTTTATAAAAGTGCACAAGAATATAAGAATTAGCTTATTTGTAAACCATTACACATTGACTGCTTGCAGAGAAATAATGTATTGTGTCAATTTCATTTTTAACATTAGCATTAAGCTATTATCATATTCCCATTTCTAACATGACATTCTTCAAACAATTTGAGTACACACCTGTGGTAAAATATGAATATATTGATATGTCAGCTGATTTGTTTGAGCTGTTCCAATCTTACTCCCACGTCATGATATGCGTTTTATGAATGAGTTAACCGAGGTCAGACGATGTCAATGACATCATTAAGCTTTTTTTTAAGAATATAAGCATTTAACAGGTTATTGCATGAAATCAAAACTGAAAGTCATCAAAACACGGAAACATAAAACAAACGATGATAAAAATTTGCTGAAAGCAAATGATATTTAGTAAAAGTAAGATAATTATTTAACTTCGTCAAAACCTGTCAAGTCTGTTATTGTAAATCATTAAGCATGGTCACTAAATCAGTTTTCTTTGATTTATATTATATTGTCAATATAAATAGTGTGTTTAATTACGGGAATAGCAAATATTTGTCTGGCCTAGAGCACTTCCATCTAAAAGAACTGCTATATTTGGATAGAAATAATTCATAAGGACTGGAGTTATATCTTACTATTGACTTTATCAATTCTTGTTTGTTGTAATTCCTATCACAGACAGGAATATAAGATACAAATAGCACATTAAGTTGTGCGGGATGTATAAATACGCAATTGTAAAAAGTACAAGATTTCACCCATGTGGTTCATATATTTATCCATTGAGAGTATAAATTAATTGGAAAATAGTTTAATGCATTCAGAATATACATTTTATTCTACTTCAATTTCTTATTTCAAGTAAAATGTGCTTTTCTTTAAATGATTTCATTTTAAAAAATGTCATTCATCAATTATTTCTTCTGTAATATAAATCTTTTACAAAAACAGCTTTTTAAGGGGAAGTTACTCTATATTTCATTTCAGAAACAGTATATTGTTCAGAATTTAAATGAATATTCTCAAATATTTCAATTTCTCTTTTAGTTCGAGGCATTTAATTCTTGGAATATTAATTGTATAAAGGGAAATAACTCATTATAATTTTGTTTGCTCCTTGATTTTTATAAGAAAAGGAAATATCATATAATTATATATATACATATAGTAAATAAATCTAAATGCAGATATCACGTAGAACAGAAATTTAGAATAAGAACAGATTACAATGCAAAAACTGTTAAAACATATGATAGAAATTATTTTAAAACATAAAAGGGGAAATAACCCTCAAACTGTCTTTAAACCAAACTGATAGAAATTAACAATTCTGATGCTGAATAAATATCTAATTATCAATTTGTTGCTAAAATAAGTAGCAATGGAGTGCGAAAAATTTTATAACAATAAAGTCTTGGAGAAATAAGATTGATAGGATCAGGGTATATAATCAGCTTCTCCTCTCCTGATCAAAATCATAACCCAAAATATGTGAAAATATCGTACTGCAAAGTCCATGTTTTGATATGGGAAACCCCCAAAATAATTTCAATTAGTAACTATGTCACTTTCCATACGCATTGCAGATTTCCTTATATTTTCACTGAAATCAGTGGTTCTCTTCTCAGCGCCTGCTTTCTCCCACCATGAAAACTAGTTTCTATGATATAACCAATGTCGCTGAATGTGACATTCAACATCAACAAATACTGAAATTTAGTCACTGGTTTAAGAAATTCTGGATTTGAACAAACAGACATCAAACAATCAATGAATCACTACAGCCTCCTTTTCACTAAGTAGGGTTTATAGCAATGAATCTGCTTGCTTTATTCTTCAATACCTGGAGTCCCTCTGTATTTTACCTACCAATATATTGATAAATCTGAAGTTTCCACCAACATCTGATCTAAGTAATCCACCATCTTTGTATGGAAGCAAATAGTGTTCATGTGTTTAGCAATGTCTATGTGGTCCTTCAGTATCAGTGCTGCTTTTCCTACACTTGTATATGCCTGAAATAACTCTTTATAACTTTTTTGCTCCCTGATTTTAAAAGTGTAACGCCACTATCGCTAAGTAATCAGGAATATGATAAACAAAAATATCATACACAGTTAAAGTATTGTGTATTCAGAAATTTATATTTGTTTTTAATTCATTGAAAAAATGTAACTGCGGTTGTAGATGGCAGATACTTAAAATACTATTTTTCTTCTAATCTTTCAAAAATTAATAAAAGATGTACCTAAGTCACATAAATAAATTTTACATTTCAGTCAACATTTGAAAATTTGCATTGACACTATATGGAAGCATAATGTGTTTTTTTTTTAAATTCAATTTCAGACCACCTGCCATATAGATCTTGCATTTCTAAAATCACACATTTTAATTCAGTACAAGACTTTAATTTTTTAAATATAATTTTTTTTTCAGAATCTTTCACTTTTCAGAACCATAGCAATTGTAGACCAGCTCATACAATGGAATCTGCTAATTTCAAGTTTATATTTAAATGAATAGAAGCATTTTTACCATTGAAAAAATGAAATATTGTTATGAATATTCTTATCTTGTATAAGTTAAGATAAGATAAGATAGTCTTTATTTCAGACTCAAAAGGTCCATAAATATATACATGAAACAAAATATTTTGTTTAAACAGAATACAATATTAAATTTACAGTATCAACTAAAATTAATTTTTGCATTGTTTTCTTTGTCATGGTGTCATTTGTCCCTCTAAGTACTATGATGTGTATCAAAAAGGCTTACAGCTTTAGTGGGATATAATTTATCCTTAAGTGTAAATTCATGTCAAACCAGTCAAATATAGTTAAACTTACTTTACCAGTTTTACTTTACAATCGTATCCCTTCTGAAGCACCTGGGTTCACCACTTTTGGCGGGGTTAGTGTAGCTTAGTTTTTTGTTTTATATGGACTTGTTTGCCCTGAGGTTTTTCGTTTTTCAACCTTGTCAGTTATATACCATAAAGTGGGAAATTTTCATGAGGGGTTTATTTTGCCAAAATATATATCCTATGATCTACATTTGATCTTTAAGGACAATAAGTTCATGGATATTCTGTAAAACACAAAAATAAAACCTAATAACCAAATTCAAACTATGAAAAAGGAACCTTAACAGTACTGATAAAAGCATACCTGTTGAAATCATGAAATTTTAAACTACACAAAAAATGGACCCATTAGTGGTACAACATACCTGAAGCCTGAACCAATCCAGTCTGATTCCTCTAAAGTCAAACAGTACATTCTCCTCAACTAAAATATAAAATATGGAAAATACAACATACAATTTCAAATTCATGATATGAAAATTCCATAACTTAATTTTTGTTCTAATTTACAATTAATCAAGTTATAATTTTAGTTTTCCATTTTTCCCTGTAAAAAGTTGAATACTGTGGATTCATTTATTTTCGTGGGTATCAAGTTTCGTGGATTGATGAAAACTTGCATTTTCGTGGATATTTGATTTCGTGGTTTTTCAAAAGTCTGAATATAATCATACAGAAAATTTGTAATTTGTTTAGCATTTAAATTCATGGTTTCCCTGTACCAACAAAATCCACAAAAACTGGTATTCAACGAATAATAATGAATTCACAGTATACTGTACTTCTTGAATTCCATATTTGTATTGTCCTTCTTTATCCTGTAAGCAATGCTTTAAATGGAGAAGGTAGGATTTGAGACCAAATTAGTCCTAAAATCAAATACATTTCAATATGTTTTTGTTTCACAAATTGAAATGTTGAATTCTTGTACTTTTATTTTGTTTTAAAATATATCTTTACCATAAATTTTAAAGCCATAAAACAACAGTAAATTCATTAAACTGGCAAAACTATGCATAATCTTGACTAATTGACTAGCACTTGGTTACAAATAATTTAGAAAACAAACATAAACCAAAAAGGTATTCACACAGGATGTGTCTTTTTTACATTTATCTATTCAATGGCAAAAAATATTTTTTATTGATCTGAAAAATCTCCTTTTTGATTTGTTTGAAGACGAAAAATGTGTCAGGCCTACAAAACTATAAACCTGGTTTCACTGATGAGTGTTTATTCATGGCCAAATAAGCCCCAAAATGTACCTTCTCCTGTTATATGAAGTAGAAGACACAAGACAGCAACCCAAAAATACAAGTGAACAAAAATTGAAATCTAGCAGTAACCATAAGGTCTGTAAGGATGGTCAGTATTACGCATCAATATTTAAATAACCCAAAGTATAGTTAGGATTACTGTGAACAAGCTAATTTTCATGGATATGGTTTTTTGCTTTTTCTCATGGGATTTATATTTTTAGCGATTTTATTATCATGATTATTTTCTTGATGTATTTGTGTTCATAGGTAATTTTTCTTCCACTAACAAAAGTCACAAAAATAAATTGCGCTTGAAAATTAAGTTGGTTTATAGTAAATGAAATTTACATAATGAAAATTATTTTTAGATTCTTTTTAATCAAATATCTGTAAAAAATGAAAGTTAGAAATATGAAGACAGCTCTGCAGAAGTACAGCAGCTCTTTTCAAAAAAATCTTAAGAGTAAGAATACTCGTAAGTCATACACATTTCAGTATAACTTAGTATAATCGTAAAATTTTGTGTGAAAAGAGTCGCAGTTATTAATTTTCCCAAATTCTCATCAAATAAATTTGCAATAAAAAAAAAAAAAAAATAGAAAACATATCTTCTATTTTAAAAACATTTCATGTCTCTTGAAGTAAGTATGCTTCAAAAGTTATAAAAAAATATGATTCTATTTTTTTGTAAAAGGATGCAATTATAATCTTTAATTAAAAGCTTAACCAAAATGTACACATTGCAATGTAGGACCCCCTTTGAGGATCTTTGTGATCCTTATATCATGCTACTGTACCCACTATAAAGAGAAATTATTGAGTACTCTGAATATGTGATGGCTTTATATGCTTTTATTTCTTATCGTAGTTATAATATTTATTTGTTGGTTTTTTTTTAATACTGTACTACAGCTGAGCTATCCCCCTTTTCCTCTACCTCTCACTAATTATCAATAACAATATGAAATATTTCGAATTTGGCATATATTAGTTACTTAGGTTTTATGTCTTATCATTTAATCTGATATGTATCTTTCCAAAAATGAAGAAAATATTTCCACCATTTTATATTCAAACTTCTTGTTGTGAAAAAAATCAATTATCTCCCCTGCTTTCATGCAGTTTGAATTTTTTAAGATATAACCTTTTACAATATTTACTAATATAAACTAAATAATTGTTTTGTTATTAAATTCCATATTATATGTACAGTTAAAAAGTTTGAAACAACAGTATAATGATCAAGATATATCAGCAATTTAAAATCCTACTGGATACTCTTACTAAAGCTCAATTTAATTCATTTGTATCCTTATGATGGCCTCCTTTTTCTCATACCAAATATCAATAGTTTCTGGAAACACCTTTACCAATCGGGGAGGTTTAAAACAATAAAAGAACATAAGTCACACAAAATAGAAAATGAATACATAAAGGATGTAGATATTTCAGCTTTCGGAAATTTTGTCAGATTGTCAAGGATGTTTGGAGTACTTGGGTATTTTTCCTACAATACATTGCCCCATTTCACCCACTTTTCTTTTCATAGAAGACTTCAATAACTCATAAAAGGTCATTACCAAAATTTAAGCAGATTCTAAATTTCTTTTCTTACGATTTGAGACCCTAATAATACCAATGCTAAATATAAGTAAAAGTGTAAGTCAGCCTTTTCCCGCCATTTTTTCAAAATCATATATCTCTTAAAGGAGTTCCATAACCTATCATTTTTTTAAGCTTATTTTGTACCTTAACTAATGCTCTTATGATTTAAAGTATCAATTTTAAATTCCAGATTTTTTTATTTTCACCTGACTCCATCCTTAATGCATCTTAATAGGGTTAGTCCTTAGTTTCAATCAACTCCAATGAGGGTCATGGCTAAATTCAATTCTATTTACATAAGGGTCATGGCTAAATTCAATCTGATTAACATGAGGGTCATTGATTATTCCAATATGATTTACACGAGGGTCATAACTAAATTCAATCTTATTTTCATGTAGATCATGGCTAAACTCAGATTTCTATATTGAAAACCTGATTTGACTTATAAAGTGATTGTCTCTTTTAAGTGGATCAACTTATTCTAAAACTTACACAGACTTTCAAAGACCTGCCACCTTCATCAAATTCAAGAACTGACTAAAAATTTTAACATCTGAATTTTTGTGTTAACCCAGGCCTTAATGAGTATCAGGAATGTCGTACTTCACTAGCTAAGTTTTTATTTAACATTTTTATTTAAAACTTTAATAAGTTACAAAATGAACGATGGCTTAAATTATGAATGATATCAAGCTTGCAACCCCCTTCTAATTTAAAGAAAACATATCACAATATGTGATAACTTGAATACACAAATTGCATAAAATGACTATTTTCTATTTTGTATGGGATATTATGTAGCTGAGAATTTGCAAAAAAAATAGTACATTGAACAATTACAGGTTAAATAAGAGTTTCATTTTGGTTGATAAATTTTTGACTTATTTATAAAAATATAGTGACTAGAAATTGTCATGAAAATAATGACAATTGTTGTCACATGTTCTTGAAGCTAAGTTTTGAAAATTTTATAATTTAAAATATAAATTAACTGATTTCAAATAAGTTTTAATATTTTTCATCTATTTTTGTCATACCAGTTGGTTAGTTATGACCATTGGCCAATGAATCTTACGAAAATAACAAATTTCTCTTCTTTATAAAAATAAGAAGATGTGGTATGATTGCCAATGAGATAAAATGCCCCGCAGGGCGCAGCTTGATACGACCGCAGAGGTCGAACCCTGAACAGTTGGGGCAAGTATGGACACAACATTCAAGCTTGATACAGCTTTGCATTTGGATTAAATATTTGACACAGCATAGGTTTCTGACACAGAATGAATGTGGTCTAAGAACTTAAAAATTTTAAATTGGACATTCACCTATTATGGTCCAATATCCAAAATCTAAATACATGGTTAGATTCAGCATATCAAAGAACCCTAAGAATTCAATTTTTGATGACATCAAACAAAGTTTAATTTTGGACCCTTTTGACCTCAATGTGGACAAAGTTGATAATGGGGCCCAAAAATCAAAAATCTAAATACATGGTTAGATTCAGCATATCAAAGAACCCCATATATTCAATTTTTGTTGAAATCAAACAAAGTTTAGTTTTGGACCCCGATTTGGACCAACTTGAAAACTGGGCCCATAATCAAAAATCTAAATACATGTTTAGATTCAGCATATCAAAGAACCCTAAGAATTCAATTTTTGTTAAAATCAAACTAAGTTTAATTTTGGACCCTTTGGACCTTAATGTAGACCAATTTGAAAACGGAACAAGAATTAAGAATCTAAATACACGGTTAGATTCGGCATATCAAAGAACCCCAATAATTCAATTTTTGATGAAATCAAACAAAGTTTAATTGCCCAAAATCCAAAAACTAAATACACGGTTAGATTCAGCATATTAAAGAACCCCAAGAATTCAAGAATAAAACCCCATTGAAATTGGTCAAGAAATAAGCAATTTATACGAAGTATCTTCTTTTGCACAATACTGTGCAATTAAATATTTCTTGCTATTGCGCAATACTGTACAATTGACAATTTCTTGCTATTGCGCAATATTGTGCTATTGGATATTTCTTGCTATTGCGCAATACTGTGCAAATGAAGATTTCTTGCTATTGCGCAATACTGTGCAATTGAAGATTTCTTGCTATTGTGCAATACTGTGTAATTGAAAATTTCTTGCTATTGCACAATACTTATTATATAATAATTTACACATCCTGTTTGGTGTGTATCTCCTACCATATCATTATTATTTGCTTTTAAATAAAAATCAGAAATAACCAACTTAAAATGGAAAATTTTAAAAGAAAAAAAAAGGAAAAAAAGAAAAAATTCGTAAGGGTTCCGCGGAACCTAGTGTCTCGCCTACTTCTGCTGTTTATCACAGGCTCAACAAAAATGAGGAAAAAAATTAATAAAAATATTCCTCTCTATACTATCTTTTGATTGTAAGTAGCTTCTGTCCAAGTTTGGTAAAAATCCAGGATAGTTTATGAATCTAATAAATGTTTTAAATAAAAACTTAAACTGTTATGTAACTGGAAGAAAAACTAAGTCCATATATAAGTAAAATACGGAAAAAATG